GCTGGGGGGCATGGGCTCCTGAGGGCCAGCTGGGGTCCCTCAAGTGTCGGGCCCCTGGCGGGGTTCCACGCAGGGCCTGCAGAGAAAGGCTTCTCCAGACTGGGAGCACGGTGCGCTGTAGGTGGGGCACTAGGAACGGGCCCCACCCCAAACCAGTCTGGGAAAGGCTGAACGCTGGACCCAGAGGGGAAAGGCCACTGACCGGGTGGGGCAAGGGTGTAGGAAAGACTGAATGCGTCCCCTGAGTATGGAGGCCCCAAGAGGACTGGCCCAGCCAGGCCTGGGATAAGCTCCCCTTTTAACCATGGTGTGTGGCCAGTGTGGGGCAATTGGGCAGCCCTGGACTCTTGCCTAGGATCCCGGAAAACCCAGACACCCTTGAAGTTTTCAAAACCAGGGCCCCGTAGGCAGGACCTTAAAGGCCTGAGCCTTACTCTCCAATTGGCTGCTTCCACTTTGGCTTAAGCCATTTTCCCTCTAAGACTAATTTCAGTGGGATTTGGGATAAGGGAGAAAGCTACACGGCCCTTTGGCTTTGTGTGGTTACTTGTGGATGAAGGGGCTGCTAGCAGGATGCCTGTGATATTCAGGCACAGAGAAGCCATTTGCCCAAGACCAGAACTGAGGTCCTGCCCAGCGGGTGAGAGCGGCCCCCACACCTCCAGGCACGCAGGCAAGCGGGGACATTACTTGGGACATTCTACAAAACTCCTTAGTGGGAGTGGGGTGACCTTGCTCACCAAGGGCTCACCAGTTGGGGCTGGAGCCCCTCAGGCCCTTTGCCAGCCAGCACTCGTGTCCTACTGCACCTTCTGGGTTGGGAAGTAAAGACTGGAGGGTGAATTAGTCCTACACCAGGATCATCAGTGGTCAATCTTGACAAAGCTCTACCATATGGTATTTCCTCCAGACCACTGGCCATAGTGGGAACAGCCACACTCCTGGAACCCTGAGCACATCCTCACCAGATCCAGGAGCTGCGGATGTTACTTCTGCTTCATCTGAATCCAAATGTGCCAAATCAACCAGCAGTGGAGGGCAAGCAAGCTGCGCCAGGACCCTACTCACCCCCTTGGGGAAACCAGATCCAAACTAAATTGAGGCCTCCCACTACAACGGCTTAGATGAAAAGACCTGAGACTGTTCTCCACAAAACAAGAGAGGCAGAAACAGTGGAGGGGCTGGGCAGGTGGCTCAGTGGTAGAATGCTTGCCTTGCATGCATGAGGCCCTGGGTTCGATTCCTAATCACTACATAAGCAGAAGTGGCGCAGTGGCTCAAGTGGTAGAACGCCAGCCTTGAGCTGGAGAGCTGAGGGACAGCGCCCAGGCCCAGAGTTCAGGCCCCACAGCCGACCGCCCCGGAAAAAAAAAAAAAACCAGAGTGGCTTTTCAAAGAATGGAAGAGATGCTAAGGAGCAAAGAGAAGTCCCACACAGGCATATCAGTGAGACATTCTGGAATTCCAAGGATGAAAAGACTAGCTCAAAAGTCTCCAGAGAGAAGGATCTTCCCTAAATTGAACATACTGAGGAACAATTATCAAAATTCTAGGAAAATTGAACCTACAATTCAGTCATACTAGCATTTAAGTAGAATACAAAATTATTTATTTGTAGCCCATAAACATACAAGTTTTCCACAGCACCTTAGCAAGACCTCATCTCTAAGAATAAAATCTAGCTGGGCACCAGTGGCTCACACCTGTAATCCTAGCTACTCAGAAGGCTGAGATCTGAGGATCAAGGTACAAGTCCAGCTTGGGCAGGAAAGACCGTGATATGACCCTTGTCTCCAATTAACCACCAGAAAACCATGAGTGGCACTGTGGCTCAAGAGGTAGAGCACTCGTCTTGAGCTGAAGAGCTCAGGGACAGCACCCAGGCCCAGAGTTCAAGCCCCATGACTGACCCAAAACAAGAAATTCTAGGCATGGTAGAGCATGCCCTGTCATCCCACCTACACAGGAAGTATTAAAAGGATTGAGGTCCAAATCAGCTCAAACAAAAAACAGGACCCTATTTGGGAGAAAATAAATAAAAAACATGGCAATACCTGCCTACCAAGTAAAAGACCCTGAGTCCAACCTTCTGTTAGAAGCTATGCGCCATATCCCTTAGCAAAATAGAAAAAAAGAAGAGAGTAAAACATGAACATGGGTGTTAAAATCAGGTAATAACCTTCAGCTAAGAAAATCTCAGATGAACTCAATAAAGTTGGAGGGGCAGCAAGAGAGCAAAGAGCACAGAAGTTCTCAGGCGGCTTGGTTAGAGGATTTTAGAGTCCGTAGGAAAAAAGGGTTACAATATTAAGATACCAAGGTTTCTACTAGAGAAGTGAAAATATGACTTACAGCTTTCAAACCAAATGTGAGAAAAACATGAGGAAAAACTGGTAACACCAACAAACAGCAGGATAAAGGTAAAAGGCTAAACACAGCCAATAAGGGACACAACAGGATGCAGAAGAAATAAGTTTGAACACAAGTCATTGGAGAACTGCG